TATTTTATTTTAGATGGAATTAATTTTCACTGAAAAGACATTTTGGGTGTATTGTGTGGAATATATTTTCACTGAATTTTGACAAGTTGAGTGTAAAATATAGGAAAAAAGGTATATTTGATGGATTTTATTTTTACTGAATCATTCCTTCAGCAAAAATTAATTCCAAGGAAAAATAAAGTATTTTACAGTACTCCTGCAATTGTAATATTGTACTCCACTCCAGTGTCCTACACATGTCGATGTTTACGTCAGATGCATACCCCCAATTCTTATAAAAGAATGTAATATTTATTTACAGTGTGTGACTGATGACAAGATAATTGCAGTCTTCAGTGGTATAGAGTTTTTAAACTATTTGGTTCCTTTAGGATTTAGGAGGGATCACACTACAAATGTCTATGCTATAGACATGGCTAGCTACTGTTCAAGCTCACCTTTGACTTTTTTTAAGCCGATGTTTGTTCTGTTCATTCTTTTAGAATGTGTGTACGTTCAGGTTATAAATATACAAATGTGAAGATCTCAAGTGGTTAATATTTTCATTAATGCCTGCCACCTCTGGTGTCATTTATTATTTTTTTTAATACAATGTAGATTAGAGGTGATTTTCTAATTTCAATTTTCTAAACTCAATCATGTGTTTAGCCGGCTAATGTTTATTAATGAACTCATTGAGCGCCAAAGTCAACTTTCAAAATCCTCCACAAAATTGATCAGCATAATGTTCCTCATATTTTCACATAAAATTTGATCATGACCTATAGCCAGTGAGAAATTATATCCATTTTGTCCGAAATTAAAAAAGAAATTGTAGAAAAATTCATAAAATTATGCAAAATTTTAAACGTGCATTTGAAGGGTTAAAGCCCCCCCTCCCCCCGAGACGTCACCTATGCATGCGCCAGGTGGCCATAGCGTGTCATTGTTTACAAACAAGCATCTACCCTTCAATACATTGAATATATTATTGCAAACAAAAATGGCAAATTAAACTCGCATAATAGGAAGTGGGGTGAATACCTAAAAAAGATTGTTTCAAGAAATGAGCAATTTTCTGAGCCATAACCCATCTCTGTATACTACTTGTACTTATCACTGTCGTTAGATACTGTAATAGATAGGTAACACTTATATGTAATTATTACTTGATTCCAATAAATATAAAAAAAAACAAGCATCTACCCATGACCCCTTGCGTTCTTAGTGTGTTGTTATCGTCGCTTCGGACTTGATTCCCGCGTATGCGCAGGTGAGGACCCTCTGGCTTTAAAGACAAGACTTAGATGACTAAGTAGCCGATATACACCTTCTATAGAGACCCCTGTAATGGTTTATATTTGTATTTGATTCCATTTGATATATGTATCATGCCGTTTGAGTCCTAATTCAACTTTTGTAACTTTTTATAAAATAAAACCCACATAATTTATTTCATATCTTAATCAATATTTTGCTTAACATCTGTAGCCGACGGAAAATTATTTCCATTCACTTGTAGTCCATATTTATCCGAGGAAAAATATTAAAAAAAACTAAATAGGCAAATTTGCACCATAATGAGGAACTCAAGGAGTTAACAATCTTTATTGTAAAAGTCTGAGGCAGCATCAAATTTGTTCATTCTATTGCCAGTCCACTTTAATTGGCTGCCTTAATACAAAATGAAGAGCAAGGAATGATATACTGATGTCTAGCGCCCTCAGACTACCAACTTAATATATGCTGCATGACTTTCAACTGACCAAATGTAAATTTCTTTGTTTTATAGTGGTCCGTCTTCAGTTCCAGCAAACAGGTCTACAGTTACTCCCGGTAAAGCACTAGAGTGGAATATATCCAAAGATCAACCATATCTCTGATTGACCCAATTGGAACTTTAGAAACGCTGCATAAACTATGGTGAAGTGTTCCCAGCGGGTTGACTATATCGTATGTTGTACTGTACATTAAAAAATACTAGTCGATTTAGAGTTTTCTGCTGGTAAATTTTGGTATGCGTGTGTCAGTTTTCATAATCGATTTTTCCTTGTGTTCACACATTTTGCGTTTTGATTAGTGTACTACAAAGGAATGACATTTTTTTTGGAATGATTATTGTATAGAAGCGAGACTTGCTTAGTGAATAAAGGAAAAAAAAATAAGACTTTAAATGGTTATGATTGGTTTCTTTGTGTTATGATGTTCATGTATTCCAGCAGATCTCTGTGATAGGCTGTTGCAAAAATCGAATGATTTGATTTTCAAATGTTGAAATATGGATCTTTTCAGAAGGGAATATGTTGTTCAGATACAATTATTTCATAAAAATTTACCAACTGGTATCGTCAGGGGTGAACATCCAGGCATTTTCACCACCTGGCAACCTCACCTTGAAAACAAAGGCCAGAAAACTTAGCAACATAAAACACACAAATCCCAAATGACGTTTTAAGGCCACTATGATGATGGGATCATTGTATGTCCAATTTTTACATTCAATTTCATGCAAAACACCAGAACTTGCAGTAGACGTAAAATGGTCTATTGACTGACAGTGAATTTACACCACTATGGGCTCACACATTCTTGATCAGTATGCCCCGTAAGATATGATCACTTGGTGCACAACAGAAAATTATACATTAATACCATCATCTTACCGGTATTATTAATTTATACTTAATAAAAGGAAATCCACATTTTATAAACAAAATATGTGTAAAAACAGACGCAACAGTTCGTCACTTTGTAGGCTCCCTTTGGCCACATTTTTCTTTTACTTTTTTTTGGATACTCAATTACCAGCAGTCAACAAGCTGACCCAATTTGTTTTATGACTTTTTATGTTGACTTTAAATCCGTATAAAATCATGTCTTCAAGAGTACATACTGGTCTTGATACCTTGAACTTGATTTTTCACATTGAGATTTTTCTTACCTATCTGTTACACTATGTGAACAATAGTAGGGTAAATATTGACTAGGTTTAATTTTAGTGGAATTGATGATGCATACAATATTGACTATTTTAAATTCACTACTTTGTAAATGAAACAATACATTCATTGTTAAATTTGCATATTCACTAAGTTTTAATTTAGTTCATTTGTTTTCAGTGAAAATAAAACATATTGAATAATTAAGCCCTATACTGATCTAAATTTGACCTGCCACTGGTTGGAGTCGCTGATCGTCACCTAAAGGCTAGCTCTGCTGGATAGCATTACATACTGTAAAAGGATTAATTATTCACTGGGTTTTAATTTTGCTTATTTCGATGACTGAAAAATGCGCTATATTAAAACCCAGTGAATATGTAAAATTTAGAATAGAACACATTATCTAAATGATAAAACCATGAATTTAAAACCCACTGAATATGCCTGAAATGGAAAATCAGTGAAATTTAAACCTAGTCAAAATTAGTCATTTTACAGTACAAGTTTTTTTTTTTTTGAAAAACACTTTTTACTTTGTCCATAACATCTTAGATGAAGATCAAGGTATATGAAAAAGAAATGTCTGTCCTCATTGTCATTGTAAAACTTTTTCTTGTGGTTAAAATAGTCTTTCAAACTTGAATATTAATAACCAGTCTTGGATCTTGGCTAAGTTTGGTACGTGTTCTATGTATATTTCTCAAGATATTGGTTAAATGTTAATAAAAATTGTCTTAAAATTCTTCTTGTGTTTATAATAAATCAAACAATTTATATCTGATCATCTTTGGGGATCTTATCTATTGCTATAAAATGTCAACCAAGTTAAATTTTGGTTCAACTCGCAAGTGCAATTTTCAAGACTGGGGTAAAATTTAACCAAAATAAACTGAGAATGTTACTAATGTGCATTGTGGGATATGTTAATTAGGTAAGTGTAAACTGATATGTTGTGCATATAAATAAACAAGGTCAGTGTTTTCCCACCTTTTTCAAAACTGGCTTGTACCGGTATTTTATTTTGCTCATCAATGCACTGTTTTTTGGGTATGCATGCTATATTATAAGGGACATTGAGATTAACACAGTACATGCAGTAATAGGGGAAAGTGGCTGATATTTTTCTTGCTATATTTTGCCTAGATAAGTTGCTGTACTATAATTCATGTTATATTATTCAATGAGGACATTGAGATTAATACGGTACATGATCATAAATATTATTTAATATTTTAATTTAATTTTTTTTCATTGTTCTTATTCATTTTTTGTCAGAACTGTTCCAACCTGAAGCCATTATTATCTGTGAAAGATGTTCAGAAAAAGTGTTGCACTGTTTCAGAACATTTTTACTAGCTTTCAACCACACAAAAAAAAGATATTGCATCGTTGTATTCATCCGTTTGTTATTTATGCTAGATTATCAATGGACAATGTTGTAAAAGTTAGCTACGGTATATTTTGAAAAGTAACTCAATATGTTTTTCACCCCTCAAAATTTCAATTGGTCAACCCTAGACCCTTGACTTTCAAAGTAGCATATTCAAAACATTACAAGCCTTCGTACGTAATTGTACCACCAATTTCGGGGGGGGTGCAAATATGTTTTAAATCGTATGATTGAGAGTAACTGTGAACTATCATTGAGACCCACCCTGTGCTGACCCTGTATGCTTTTTGCAAAATTACAATTCTCTTTTTCATCTACTGTTTTCAAAATGTGTCATTTTTCTCACTGAAGTTACTTTTTTCTTTCCAATGACATCGCAATATTTTCAATATAACCATGAGATAAAGGAGAATAATTTGGAAACATAACGCGCACACAACAAAATCCCTAGCACGTTTTGGAAAAATCAATAAAAATAAATTCCAAATCATTGCAAGATCCAGCAGAATCCAGTTTTGCCCTAATCCTGCAATGAACTTGAACTCTGAATGTTTAAACCGCCAGGATTTCAAATACTGGTACTGTAATAAATTCAATCAACAAATTGGCTGTTACGTAGGTATATAAACATTTACCTTTTTTTACAAAGAAACCAGTAACCCTTCTCACCCCAGGACTCTTAGACTTTAGGTCTTACTTCTAAAAAGTAAAACGACAAATGTTTATAATCAATCAACTATACTTTATTTACCATTATTTTTCCTGTAATTTTTTTCATTCATTCATCTTCCTCTTTTTAATTCTGTTTTTTTTCTGTTGCTTTCGTTTTACCGTGAACCGACGCCAATATCCATGGGATGCATACGTATATTTTGTTGGACAATATTTCATTACTTGCATATTACATCTCTAGAATACCATCGTACTATCATCTCCCATCTTTCCCTGACTCCACGTAGTAGGATTTTCCAAATCGGGTAAGAACCCCCCCCCCCCTCCCCGACTACAACGATGAGAACCAATTTGTCTGAAAAAAAATGACAACCACCGTCATCGACTGACAGTAAATAACTCGGACCTACTCAATTAAAAGATACAATAAGGCTCAAATGTTCGCCACGCGTCCGTTGGCGTACCGAACTAACATTCTTTGGCATCCGATTGATATTATTATTTCAGCTATGTGTTTTGAATCATAGCACACCTGGAGGGAGAGCTAAACGTCCCCTGCAGTCGATAACCAAAGCAAGGAATCAGCAGACCAAAACATAAACAGCGGAAGACTTATTGCTTGTCAGTTCGCATTAGGTTTATTGAGGCATTCGATGCTGGTAGCCAAATAGAATGGTTCATCGCGCGGTGCTGCTGGTTAACATTATGAAAGAAAGCACAGATACATGTATATATATGAAAAGTCTTGACTTGGGGTGATGTATCAACATGCCTTCTCGAAATCTGACGCGAGTTTTATTGAAACAGCTTGCTCTTTCATTTTGCGTTCATTCTGTGGATTTACGTTCAAGTCATATGACCGGAAGCGGTATTTTATTAGGGGAGCAAGGCAAGCAGAGCGGGGCGTTTCGGTAAAATCATGAAGGTAAAAGTGACGTACTTATTAGTGAATATTTTTATATTAAAGGTGGACAATACAGATTCATTTTCGCTTTTTATGAAATTAATATCCCAAGTAACTCGCCATTAGCCTCGATCCATATTTTATAATGTCAATGGCGTAATGAAAAAAACAAAAACAATGTCAATATTGCAATGTATTATAAATCTCTAGTTTTAAATATATGTAATAATTTATTTTTATTTTCATATTTCATAAAGTAGTGTTTACAGCGTCCGGCGTGTATTAACTCAGTAGTCAGTGTGAACACAGAAAAACGTGTTTTTCGACGGAAAACAAGATTACCTATTAGTTTCAAACAATAACCAATCTTAACAAAATGTTTAGTACTTCGCTGTTTTTTTTGTTATCAATTGCCTATATAAAGGATAACCACGGATAAGTAGAACAGTGTGTCACATGCTATACAGTACGCCGACTATGGCAATTTAATCGAGCGAGTTGCGGCATTGTAACACATTCCCACCATCAGCTCGCAGATCGGACGTTTCTATTTCGCAGTATAGGTGAATTGTCCGTACTGCGGCGCTTTTAGTGCTACCATGGGGCTACAAACAACATTCCATGGTGCTACAAACTTATCGCAGTTATACTGACTATAACAGCCCTCGCCATGTGCGCGTAAGAGCTGGTGTCACCAAACACAACCCAGTACTCCCATCATCGTGTAACACTGGTAGCAGTTCTCTAATGCGTGTTTTTTGTTTGTTTGCTCAGTGTGTGAAAGATGATTGTCATGTGACTATATTTTATCGCCTAGATCATGTATTTTGTAATTTTGTGTTTACTTTGATTGCCCAAACCGCACAGAATATTATTGCAGACAACGATGAGGTAAATAACAAATTATATAAAAAATATTATGAATAATAACCAAATATATAGTGTATATATAGAGTACTCCACCCAAAACTCAGTAACATTCACTTGGGAATATTAAACATGTTTTTGTTGAACGAATCAATTAAACCTGGCTGTGACTGTATAAGAACGCGGTAACACACGAATACGAAGACATTAAAGTCAAGGTGCTCCCGACCCTCTCACCGCCCCAGCCGGTATGGCACAGAGACTCCGACTGTACCGAGAAAATCCCACTAAACGCCACACTGTCATCGGCTGCGGTGAAATGCGAGTATTACATCTTTTGGAGGCTTTCCACATCTGGTTTGCCGTACTCTTTAGAAAGCACCGGCATCTATATGATTA